GTGATCCTTTCGCTTCTGCATTTACAAGATCCTTTTCCCGTTCCTGAACCCACCTGACGGACCACTTTGTACAACAAACGCATAAGTTTCTTTCACTTGTGCAGTCATTTGCTCCCTCTGGAGCGCGAGGTCACGAAACTGTCAGTAATTATACTTATTGGACTTAGCTTTGGCCACACTATGTCCGCGAATAGGCTTGGGCAATGCGCGATATTAGATATAGAGAACCTGGTTATCCTGGAAGTTAAGATCAGGTACCTGCAACAGACGATCCACTTCGCGAGACAAAGCATCGACTGTGGTCCAACGCTTTTGACTGATGGTGGTGAGCTCATCAAAAGCCTTATCGGCCGTTGTTTTGTCAAGGAACGTCTCCTTGATTTTCTGGAGAAATTCCTTGAGGGTCATCGTTTTCGCCCACTCACTTTTATCTTCAACAAGGCGGCATTAGCCTCAGACAGGACCCACTGTTTTGTGACTTCTCCCGAACAGGAAGTGGAGAAGGCTACCTGACTTTCCTTTTCCACAGGAGCGGTACCACAATAAGTTTGAATTTCTGCTATCCACAATAGCAGATGTTCTCCTTGCTTTCCGTTGTACGTAAAAGGAAGTTTTATTTTGACTTTTTCTTTCCTCTTGGGGCGTTCCCCTACTTCTTTCTTTGCAGGTTCGGGTTCTTTCTTCGCCGACTCTTCTTTCTTTGCCGGTTCTTCCTTTGCGGCCTTGGGTTCTTTCCGAGACTTCATGGCATCTTTCATCAATTTCTCCTGGGGTTCTTTCCTTTCTTCCTTCCCCTCGACCTCCTCCTCCTGCACCACTTTGTTCTTTCCCTTTACCAATCTTGTCACCATCTGGAATTCGGCGGTGATGCCAAGCCAACTTCTGAACCCTCCACATTCATATGATTTTTTTGTCTAATTTCTTCTACTTTCTTTGCTTTTTCTTCTTTTTCCTTCTTTTCTTCCTGAAAGGCTTCTTTCTTTTTCACTTCTGCTTCCAATGCAGCTCGTAACTATCGGATAGTGTCGTCCGTTATTTCTTCTGTCAATTCCTTTCTTTCTGGACGATTCCACCTTCTCTTCTTCTTTGGCCTCTTCTCCTTTCGTCATGTTCGCATATTGCTCGGCCACAAAATGATCGAGGGCCATTCGTCCTCGATCAATAATGCACAGCCAGTTTGATCTGCAGGCAGCAGAGGATGAACTGAAGAAGGCTGAAACTGCTGTTGAGATGTTGGAGTCAGTGCGGTAGTGCAGATCTGCTGTCTGCAGATCGAACTGGCTGTGCAGCGTCGGGGCCAGCTTCGTGCAATTCTTGGAGCGATGTACGGAAACGGTTCAGCATTAGCTGCTGTCGTTCCTCAATCTGGCCACGGGTTCTCGACACTACCTCTTCTTCATCAGCAAAGAAAGTAATGGAGATGGGGTAGAAGAGATGAGGAATGAAACGGGTCAGAATGGACGCACACAGACAGTTCCACACAAAAGCCATCCTAACAAGTGAGTATGCCGCACAATAAACGTAAAAGGACAATAGAAAATTCCACAGCCTCACTTCAATTAAATTTCTACAACAAAGAAAATAATAAGAAATAAATAAGGATTGAGATTCTTCAATTTAGTCTGTTTCTAATTCTGCTGTTTATCTATGTGATGACGGTCCTATTTGAGAGTGTACAGATACCGCAGCCACGGCCAGTGTGATCAAGGCAACAGTACAAGTGGTGAGTCAGCAAGCATCCACAGAACAACCCACGACAGGTGAGTATGGTCAGCCAACAACAGCACAAAGCAATCAATGTGTCAGCTGATCGTCCTCTTGCTGTCTCACTGCAGATATTTGAATCCAGCCACAAGGACTGACGTGTGGCACTACGGCGTAACCCAGTGCCGTACCGCCCGTCAGTACACCAAGTGCAAGTGTCGATCTGCACCAATCTTCACGGTAGACACACGTCTTCCCTGCCACGTGTCACATTCCAGCCTGACCAACCCAGGACATCCACAGAGTATGCCATGTCAGTGACATTGGCTAGCGAGGCCGTCAAATGGGAAGTCACAGTAGCCACGTCAGCAGCGTGCTACTACCAAGTCCGCTCGTCACGGGTATGTCATGTCAGACTGAAAAAAAGATACCGCTGGAACCTTGGAAGCGCCATGTCAGCAGGTAAGTCGTGACACAGGTAAATGCCATGTCAGACAATACCCTGCTGGTCCTCTGGATGCCATGTCAATATTCCGAGATACAGTTGACTTTGGTCAACTGTCGGGCGCAGGGCCTCTGAAACCACATTTCGGGGCCTTGTTTGGCACAGAGGGCCTTGCTGCGGCCTGTGGGCGGCTCCTGCCTGGCGACAGTAGCATACTTGGAGCGGGTTATTACATACCCTTCAAATTTGCAGAAATGCCCTGTGTTAATCCCCGGGCGGCCCAGGTGAGGGAAGGTTGCCCGGGCAGGGTCCTGGGCGATCCCAGCACATAATATTTTTAAAAATAGAGAATACAACATTGTTGCACCCCCCGACGGTCGGCGGTCCTTGACTGGTCGGCTGCCGACCCACCGACCGATGGGCTGGTCGGCACCTACCGGTCAGGAATCGTCGGCACCCCGCAAAAAAAAAAAAAGAAAAAGGAAAAAACTTTTTTTTTGGGGTCCAGAACCCCTAATAAAACATCCAACACCCCCATAGCGGCCCCCCCCATATACACCCCCCCAAACCGCCCCCAAACCGCCCCCAACACCCTCATTACTCCCCCGCCCCCCCCAATATCCCCCAAACCGCCCCCAAACCTGTCTCTTATACACATCTAGATGTGTATAAGAGACAGGCCCTGCAGAGATGCAAGCAGTTCTTTTTTTTTTTCATTTTTCAGTGGATTTTTTTTTTTTTTTTTTTTTTTTTTTTTTTTTCCCTGACTGGTCGGCAGACCGCCGACCGGTCGCCCCAACTCAGATTTGAAAAAAATTCAGTGGATTTTTTTTTTTTTTTTTTTTTTTTGGTACTTTTTGGCGGAGCGCGGACCGGTCGGCCCAACTGGTCGGCTGCAATTCGGTCGGCGGTCGGGGTTGGCGGTCGGCAGGGATGCAACCCTGGAATACAAAAAAAAAAAAAAATCCGAAAAAAAATATTTGTGTAAAATTGCAATACAGATGACTTTTGGCTGAGGGCCCCCACGAAATTCCTTGTTAATTTTAAGATAAACAAGTAGATGCCCGCCGCGGCTGCGGCGGGGGSCATGAGCACGGGTAAAAAAAAAAAAAAAAAAGAACGTACAAAAACAGCTGTGTACCTTCCCATGTTCCAGTGCACCGAACGAGTTAGGGTCTGTGGTATATTTGGTTAGTTCTGGAGCCAGGAGCGACCGGATACGCGCCTGGACAACGAAGTATTTTTTGTCTTTGGCCCAAGTAAGGGCAAAAAAAAAAAAGTCGTGTATCATCCCTGTTCCCAGCGGGAGATTCACTCTCATTTTGAACATTTGGTGAGTTCCACAGTTGCACATGTGGTGACTCTGGTGAGTTCATTTTTTTTTTTTTTTTTTTTTTTCTTTATAAGGGTGACTACCTCGAGATATCACCATTGAGCTGATAGTGGTTTTACTTGTTAAGTTTCACCATCTGGATTCGAACACATGTCTGCATGTCAGCACCCCACAAAAAAGTCAAAAAGAAAAAAAAGATCTACTGGGAGCTACTCCACGTGGCCCTAAGAACACTACAGCCAGATCTCGTTGTCGTTTTGCATGAACAGCAACCCACAAAAAGCCAAAAAAAAAAAATTGACTCCATGTGGCCCTAGAGTACTACAGCCCTCTCTCCACTGCTCACCAGTTGAAACGAATCTGCTTGTATAATACAGGAAGATACATGAAAAGCAAACAACAAATCTACCGAAAAAAACAACAACGAATGGATGACACTGAACTTCGCTGTGCTATGAACTTGTATTCGAACATGTGCCGGCGCGAGTTAGGAACGGCAGCGTTTTGTTGGGCCCGCCCCTTGTCCTGGCGGCTTTCCCAACACTGGAAGGCGGGTCTGCGTGGGAGCGTCACGCGAGACCCGCTACACGCCTTAAGAGTGTTAAATATAAATGTGAAAACACAAGTCCAAATGTTACCCATTTAACCCCTTTAGTCACTGTTGATAACCCCCAAACCCCCCTGGATGACCCATCACCAAAACCGGAGTTAAGACAGGATTCTGACTGCTTAGGCCAAGGGCAGTCCTGGCCTGAAGTCTTTTTTGTTTTTTTGGGGGGATCCTTGCCTCTTTTGACCCGTCTGGTTTTGCCGGGCGACCCCGTCTGCCCAACTGGCCCGGGCGTGCCTGGCCGGGCGGCGCCCCAACATAGCAAATACCCCTAAATGCAGGCCATCTATCACGAGTGAATGGGGCTTCAATAGTACATGCTGTCTGTGCTTGTGTGATATTCAGGTAAGGGCTAGTCGTGTCCCTGTTATATTGCTTCCTTCTGTGTTCTGCTTCCCAACGCTTAACAGCACACTGGAACTGGTCCTTGTCCCAAGTTGTATTCCAGGGAAGCAGTCAGAAGGACAGGCAGCTCAGCATGCCGAGCACGGGTGAATGGCAAGTCGGCACAAGAAGAGCGGCTGCTTGATGGAATGGTGTGACCATGATGTTGGTCAGGTCGCACGTGTCTGTGTAATGGCACCACTCATCAGACGAGGATAGGGTCCAGAATACAAGGTCCATGTTGTGCACCAATCACGGGTGGAGATGGTGTTAAAAAGAGCATCTGTGTCACAAAGTGGCTGCAATATTACTGTGATCAGGAATACATGCAGTGCATGTGCACGGTCAGTTGCACTATGGATGGGCTGGGGAGCATTTGATCGGGTTAAGGGAAATGGTGTATGCAGTAGCGTCGGGGGAAGAATGTTGGGTTTGATGAGACTGCCATGAGGAGTTGGTGATGCTAGGTAGGCATTTTCTCATATGCTTGTTTGGGTCGTGGTGCTGTGAGCCTTTGACAACAGGTCCTCCTCAGCGGAGAGAGGAATGCCTCTCGCAAGAAGGGGCGTTGAAAATCGATATGCTGAAACACAGGAAGCATCACCGAACCTTCTCAGTCAGCTCTTAGGTCAGTTGCTTACTTTCTCTTTTTTCTGTCCATTGTTTTCACTTGTTTGCTTCCTGTTTAGTGGACTACAACTCTGTGTGTGTGTGTGTGTGTGTGTGTGTGTGTGTGTGTGTGTGTGTGTGTGTGTGTGTGTTGTGTGTGTGTGTGTGCCCCCCTTTTGGCGGGCAAAGCATTAGCTGTCATGCAACGTAAACATTGTCATGAATCTGAGCCATGGCAACCGGCCGGACGTCTGGACCGGAATCCAGATGGTCCGGTTGTCTGGGTATGGGTCGGGAGTCTGGTCCGGTAGGTCTGGATTGGGCCCAATTTTTTAAAAAATGAAATTTTGGGGGGTTGGCCTAGGATGTTTTTCGGGTCCTAGGCCGCCCCCAAAAAATGCCCCAGGTATTTTTTTGTCTGTTTCAGGGCCTACCGGACGCCGCCAGACACTTCCAACAGCTCCGTCTGCTGTTGTACTACGATGGTAGTTCATCGGATGAGGATGAGTCAGATTCCAAAAATGAAGCGCTTCTGCAAAGCGCCACAGAACATTAAGCTAGAGAGAGAGAGAGAGAGAGAGAGAGAGAGAGAGAGATGATTTTGGTCAGATATGAGATCCCGCCTTAGATCTGGTCCTGACCAGATCTCAGATCTGTTCTTAGTACTTCTTACTCAGATCTGAATAACTTAACAGT